GTAAGTGCAGAGCTGAGCAAATACACACAAAGAGAGGTTGAAGAGGGAAGGCGGCTGTGCTTACTGCCTGATGGTCTTGAAGTTGCTGGTCTTTGTTGAGGCTCCAGTGCCTTCTGGGGGCTGTGCTTCTGGAGACATCCCCCTTCTTCCTTCTCCCAGAGAAGGGTCTCAGTGTGAGAAAGGCTCTCAGTGTGAGCCTTTCTCTCTGACACCAGTCACCTTTGCTGCAATATAAGCTCCTTTACTCCAAGTGCTATGTCCTATGTACCTGGGGCAACAGAGCAGGGGCACACAGTGGTTGGTTTGGTTTTGAAAGATCATTGCTTCTCAGCCTTTTGGCTAAGATCACGTGTAGTTTTGGAAGTTCAGATGCTAAGTCTTGCTGCCAAGATGGTGGAATCTGCCATTACTTACTCCAGACTAACAGCCTTTCTTCAGGAACCCCTGAGGTTTTATATTCTCTTCTCAGCTTCTTCCCTCACCACCTTGACAGACCTGTTGTTCATTTCCTCCCCTGGTCCTAGAATAGAAACACACATCCCTTTTTTCCCTGACCCTACTAGAGGTCTTATGTGGCCTTTAGACTCTTGAAATGACATTTTTTTTTTTTTGCAACCAACCGTCTAGTATTTCTTTGGAGTCCACCTTAATTTGCTGTCTAGAGAGATCCAGCATATTTTACTTTCCTTGGGAAGTCAGCTCTTGCTTGTTCACAAACTCTCCAGCTATATGCCACAAGAGAGAGCAGGATCAGCAGGGAAATCACTCTCAAGGTGCAAAAAAGACTGTCTTTAAATAGCATTGATTTTTATATGAAATCTGGATTAAAAAAAGAGATGAAAGTAGAAAGGGGACTATTTGGGAAGAGAAAAAGGACCAGTAGGAGGGAACAAGAGAGGGTAATGGAGGTGTGGATATGGTTAAATATATTATACACGTGTATGAGAAACCAGTGCAACCCATTATTTTGTACAATTCATGTACAGTAATAAAAATAAATGAAAAACATATCATTGAGAAAAATAACATTGGTCTTCTTTCCCGTTCTGCAAAAGTAACATTGCTAATTGCAGAGAATTTTGCAACCAGAAAAAAAAAATAATTATTAACATTTTATGTTAATAATGTCTGTGGGAAATTACTGCAGTCTATTTTCTCTCTGTATACATAGATATGTATATTTCTAAAAGCCAAAAATGAGATTATATTGTCTAAATTTCTTTGAAATTGTTATTTTCTACTTTGTTGAATTATATTTTAACATTGCATTGTATCAGGAGACCCCTAAAGGAGATTTTAATATCCATATCATATACTGCTATATGGATATGCTATAATTTTAAACAATCTTCTATCATTGGAATTAAAACTTTTCTGTCATAACTATTGCTGAGATGGATATTACTATACTTATATCTTTGTATGTATATCTTATGCTTTTTCTAGTACAAAATTCTAGAAATGGAATTGTTGAGCCAAAATGTTTTTGAAACATTTTGTCAAATTACCTTCCACAAGAATTATGCCTGTAATCCTAGTTACTTGTGATGCTGAGATCTGGAGGATTCTGGCTCTAGGCCAGAAATAGTTTGCAAGACTCCATCTCCAGAAAATAATGCACTGGAAATGTGACTCAAGCAGTAGAGTGCTCCCTGAGTTCAAACTTTAGTCTCACAAAAAATCAAACCAAACCAAACCAAACCAAAAACAACTAACAACAAAAACCCGAATTTTTATTGTTTTACCATCAGGTTGAGTTCTTTCCCTACAATTTTCAGGGCAGGGAAATGGGCAAAGAACCAGAAATGAGTTGGGATTCGTTGGCCCAAGGAAGAACTTGCCCAGGGAGGGAAAGGAATAAGTACATATTTTAATAGTCTTATTAAATGAGACTTAAATGAGTCTTATCCGATGAGAAGGACCAGAACTTGCTTTTCCTCAGTTTACCAAGGACAGGGTGAGACATGTGTGAACTGGAAATATACAATGAGGCATCAAATTACACCCAAGGAAACACTTTCTAATAGAATCAATATCTGAACAAGACTGGGAAGGAGGTTGCTTTTTTCATCCTTTGTTCTGGGCTCAGAGTGGAGGCTGGCTCCTAGGTAGCCTCATGCTTCTCTCCTCTGACATGGTGACCATCAGCTGTGGAGGCTCAGGTCCCTATTTCATGGTTCTCAGGTAGGGTTGTCAAATAAAATTCAGGATGCCTAATTAAATTCAAATTTCAGGTAAACAGTAACTAATTTTTTTTTAGTATAAGTATATCCCTTGAAATATTTACCCAGAGGGATCCAGGTTATTTTATCTTTCTGGGGAAAGAAATATTTGGGATATACACTAAAAAGTTATTCATTGTTTATCAGAATTCCAGATTTAACCAGAGCTCCTGTATTTTTACTTATAAATCTGGTAACCTTATCTCTAGGTGCTGCTCAAGCCTGGCTGAAACTAGAATTGAGGTGAGGATCTAAGTACAAAGCTCTGATCATCTCAGTTCAGGAAGAAGGAAGCCGATGTGATCAACCAGAGACCCATTCTTAGTAACCTTATGAACACTGGCCCTCCCTGTCTAAAAACCACGACTACAATAGCTTCTGTGTTTCACGTGATTGTTGTGAGGTTTCTTTTCTACTTAATCACTTTATATTATCTGACATTAACTTCTTTGTTTATGATTTCTGTTCCTTCACTAAAGTGCATTTTCCTATAAGGTTAGGGATGCTTGCTTGTCTTGTTCACCAGTGTATTTATGGTGCCTAGAATAATGCCTGGCACATAGTAGATGCTTAAGAAATATTTTCTAAACAAACAGACATGAGAAAACTGCTTAAGCACAGTGTCTGATAAATGAAAACTGTTCACTAATCTATTTCAGTTACTACCAGGACTGCTATTACTACCATTTGTAATCTCATGAATTTCAATGATAACTTTCATCAGGGTCTTTAGATGTCTTAAATTTTTTGAAGAGTTGGAGGCATGGTTCAAGTGGTGGAGTACTTGCCTAGCAAGTGTAAGGCCCTGAGTTCAAAACCCAGTGCTACCATTAAAACCCAGTACTTTCTCCACTAAAAAATAATCCCCCCCAGACTGTTTGTGTGTGTGTGAGTGAGTGGGAGAAGGAGGCAAAAGAAGAGGGTACTGAGAGGGGGGAAGATGTTTAAATACATTACACACACACACACACACACACACACACACACACACACACACATATATATGTATTATGAAATCCATAAAACACTATTTAAAAAAGGATGTGGGAAGAAAGAGGTGGATTAAGGGACCATAAAAGAGGGGTGAACTTGTTCAAAATACACTGTATGTATCCATGGAATTATCACAAGGATCCGCCCCTTATACTATTAATGTATGCTTAAAAACCCTCACAAAACCAAAAACAATACCACGGATCCAGATACAGGTCTCAAAAGTTCTATAAAATTAAAAAGTGGGCCAAAATGTATACTTTCAAATTGGCTACACTTAAACATGAGGTCTGTCCATAGTGGGAGTTCAATGGGTGGTATGAGCTACTGACCAGCACCCTTAGGCTGCATTAATAAAGGCACTGTTCCCAAGGCCAGAGATGTCAAAGTCTCACTACACGTGGTACCAGTCAAACTGCTCATGGAGAACAACTACATTTTGCCCACTACATTGTGAGGTACTTTCTATTAAACTATAGTGCAAAGAAGAGGGACAAATCAGAATGTTTAATGAGCTATACTATGAGGAATAGTTTTCAGGAAACTGAGCACAAACAACTTGAAAAAAGAAGACTATTTAATAATTTCAGATTTGGCATGTGAACTGATAATTATATTTATTTTTACGCAGAAGTTAGGATACTTCAGAGGAAGTACCTGCATTGGTGGGTGTTGAACCTGAGGATGTTTAAAGTTCTAATCAACTCTAACAACAAATAATTACATGGGGAAAAGCACAACATTTCTCATGAAATGGTAAGAATTGCATCTATAGATTTTCTTCATTATGTGTTTAAGAGTTGTCTTTTCTAAGATAAACACCCCATGTTTTATATCATATGTGAAATCTGGATCTAAAGAAAAGAAACTATTCAGGGGGGATCACGGGAAGTGGGGCGGAAGAGAGGGTGATTGTGATTAAAGTACATTACATGCACATATGAAAAGTACATAATAAAACCCTTTAAAAAGGTGTAAGTAAGTTTAAAAAGGAAGGAGGAAGGAGGATGAGAAAGTATATTCACTGGGAGTGAATATGGTCAAAATGTGTTATATATATATGTATGGAAATATCACAGTGAAACCACTCACTTTGTACAGTTAATCCACGCTAATAAAAATAACTTGAAAAGGAATAAAAGAAGTTCTGGTACAAATCATAAGGGGGATAAATACAGAAGCAGTCAGATGGGCCTTTTCTGAAGGGCCATGAAGAGAAAAGGCAAGGGGGAAGTGCAATTCTGTTTCAGAGAAAAGCTGACTGTGGTAGCTCATGGAGTTGAAAGAAATTCTGGGGAACCAGGCTTAGAAAATGGTTGGGAACTGAGAGAAGCTGAGGTCAGAACTGCAGCCTAGGTCACACTACAGGGGTGGCCTGGTTAGGATGCTGTTGGCATTGCTAACACTGGTTACTGGAGATGCTCCTGGTAGTGTGCTGGTGCTGGTATTGGTTCTCCTGGGTTCTGGAACTCACTATTGTCATCACCAGCATGAACTGTAAACTTTCCTCTAATTTTCATCACTTGCACCTGATTCAATGTCTAATGCAGATGCAATTATAGGATGAGTGAGGTCACAGGTCTGTGTGCTGGCCATCAGAATTTAGGGAAGCCAAAGATTTTTGCCCTATTTGCTTCTGAAGAAGTGGGGGGAGCTTTGTCTTTCACAAAGCTCTTTTTTTTTTTTTTTCCCTGCTAATTTGGAGTGAGCGTTTATTTACACAATTACGACACACGGACAAACTGGGAGAGAGGAAGAGCATTTCCACCAGAGCATGGAGGGACACTGGGGCAGCTGCTGTGGGCGATGGGGCAGGCCCACTACTCCTCGCCAGAAGACTCTCTCTCCAACGTGTAGGCCATGAAGCAAGCGTCGGGGCTTTTGGGGACGAGGGGATGCCCTGGTCTCACAGTCTCAAAGCCCAAAAAGCTGAAGGTTTGGAGCAAGGCGGCTCTGTCCTCGCGGTTCTTATGGAATCAAACGAAGACGTGGTCAGCTTGGAGCTGCTCAGCAAATTCCAGCAGAACTGTAAAACTGTCCTTACTCCCCTCGGATAGAGGGCCGCCTGGAAGCTCGATACAGGGGCTGCTGCTGCTACACAGCGCTCTGCAGGTGATGTGCTTGGCATCGGTGAGCCTGGACTGGACGCTAAGAATTCTCGTCTTGTTGTTAGACGTTAGTTCCTCTGTTACATTCAGCCGATTATCAGAGTAAAATAAATTAGTTGAAAGATTGTGATCCCTCTGACTATTCCCTCGCCCACCTGGGATCTTCAGGGGTGGGGTGGCGGGGGACATCAGGAGCACCACTGAGGCGCGGGGCCCAGGTTACTGCAGCGGTCGAAGGAGACCCTGGAGCTCTCGCTGCTGCGGCCGCCGCGGCTGTGCAGGCTGAGGAGCGGCATAGGGCGGCTGGCGTGGATGGTGGCGCTAGGTTTGTCCCCTTGCTTCTGTCGGGCGAGGCAGTGGCTGTTGAGGATCCGCTGCAGGGAGGATTTCTCCATCTGGCCGCTGAGGTCGGAAACCAGGAAAACCTCTGCTGCGCCTCTCGCGCCGCCGCCGTCGCTGCTCGCCATTAGCAAAACAGCTCTTAGCCACCGAACCAGAGAGGATCATCAGTGGAGGTAACTGGGTTAGCCTGGTGGAGGAAGCGCCTGTCTTTATGCATGGCCTCCTTTCCTACCATTGTGACCATTCTATCTATAGACCCGTTAATTGGGGGTGGTTTTGGAAATAAGGTAGAAGTTACTTTCTTGTGACATCAGGACATGTTGGGCCCCTGTCTAAATTTACCACTTCCCTTGTCGATGAAGTGCTACGGACACCTACATAAATTTAGACTGGATGGATCAAATTACATGTAATTTGTGGTGTGTGATCATCCATAGTTGCCTGTTATCCAGTGGCCAGGTGTTTGGTGTATACTGTTGTTTCTAAGCAGCCTGATATGGTTTGGATGACTGTACTCCAAAGGCCATGAAAGATTCATCCTCAGGTTAGCAGATGCTATGGACATTTAAGAAGTGGGACCTAGTGGGTGGTCCTTGGGTTATTGGAAGTATGCCCTAGAAAGGTATTGTCTCTCAGGCTTTCTGGGCTTCCTGGCTCAAGATATGACTGTCCACTTTAACATGACCTCCCACTGTTGTCATCCAATCCCCACCCTAAAGGTAGGATAATTCTTTACCTCAAAGGGTGAAGGGTGAAGAGAGAATTTATGATTTGGATATAAAATGACCCCACAGGCTCATGTGTTGAAGGCCTGGTCCCCAGCTGGTGGTGCTACTGAGATATGACTGAATCATAAGGGTATTAATTTCACCAATTTGCTAATCTGTTGATAAGTTCTTATTGAATGGCCTATTAGGAGGTGGGGCATAGGTGGAAGAAATAGGTCATTGGAGGCACACTTTGAAGGGTATTTCCCATCCCTGGTTACTTCTGGTCTCTGTATTTCCCAGCTGCCCTGAAGTGAGAAACTTCTTTTGTCACACACTCCTGTCACCATGATTTCTTCCGATTCTTGATGGGCTGGATGATGAAGCAGAAAAATAATTTACCAACAAAATATAAAGCAGTTCACATAGCTTGGGGAGGGTTCTATGCCAGAGGCTAAGCCTCTAGCAATATTTCCCAAACACAAAGTGGTCATGTGAGAAAACCACTGGTGCTGCCATCAGGACTTGTAGGCTGGTTGTAGGCCAACAACTTTCCATTTCAGCTCTGCTGCCAGAGAGAGATCACACTCTGCTCCTTGCCTCTCATGGGTACCACCTATACCACCTATTCAGTCAAAGTCAGGCATGTGAGCATTCTATCAGTAAAAGCAGATTACATGCCTGGGAGGCTGGGAAGCATTCTCAGTGCCACAGGGGGATGTGTTCTTTCTCCTTACCAATGTGGGAAACTTCCCAGCATTGAAAGAGGGCCAAAGGATGGGTGGCCGCATGAGTGTTAAGTGTCCACTCTCCAGGTCCTGTACAGGATGGCCTCCCGGCCTCTCTCAGCCTAGGTGGCCTCCCGGCCTCTCTCAGCCTAGGTGTTGGTGAAGGTCTATGAGAGCAAGCTGTTGGCCCAGTGAGGCAGGGGGGCCCCCTTGTTCAGTTAGACAGGTAATCACCAGTCACGGACAATGTCAAAAATCAAGAGTGGGGAGGACAGGGAAGTGCATTTATGTGGAAAATTTCAGGAGGGAGAGGTGTGATGATTCACGAGACCTCAGACTGGGCTGGCATGTTTGAACATCACCGGGAATCATTTAGAACATGAAGTTTAATAGTTTAATAACCACAATTTTATCTAACTTCAGAGTTTGTGAAATGCTTCTACAAACACTATCATATTTGAGTGATTCATTCAAGAGATCAATATTCATTGAGCTATTGAGGGAGTGATGGGGACTGAGTCCTTTCTCCCCATGTTTAGGTTGCTAACAGCTTAAAAGTAGGTAAAGAAATATGAAGATAAATATAATTGATTAACAAAAATAAAGGTTTACAATGGTAGTGGTATAAAAGAAGGAGAAATAAAATGTGTTGGGCAACAAATTTCAAGGAGAAATTTTTTTTAAGGATAAATATTTTACTTATTTATTTATTTTTTATTGTGCTGGGTGGGCGTACATTGTAGCATTTACAAAGGTTCTTACTGTGTATCAAATATGTCATACTTGAATTCACTCCCTTCAAGGAGAAATTTCTTGACTTGAGTCTTACAGATGAGCAGGAGTTTGCCAGGTGGATAAGTTGGATAAGACATGTGTTGGGAGTTTTTGGCAGAGCAGCTTGTGAAAAAGTGCAGACATAAGAAGGCTGCCTGAGGATGGAGAGTTCTGTGAGAAATGATCTTGGAAGAGGAACACACTGCTTCCCATGGTTGAATCACTCCTTGTCACTCAATCACTCAATGTCTGTGAAATGCAAGACTGCTGGGGGGTCTGAGGGGCAGCAGGAGGGAATACAGGGTTTCCATTACTCCCAGAGCACTTCATGTTATTGATGAAATTTTGTGGAGTGGTGATCGTGGCTCCTCACAGAGAGCAGGAACTTCTGAAAAACATGGAGGCAGTAAAAGTGTGTGAGGCTGAGAGGCCAGGGAAGGAGGTATAGCCCGGAATAGCCTGTCCTTTTCCATTAGCCTTCTGCTCTTTTTTTAGGGAGGACACTCCAGGAAACAGCAGAAGGCTCAGTCTAAGACCTGGTGCACAGGCTGTGGCATCAGCACCAGAGGCTTGATAGTGCTTTGCTTTCACGGGCTCTCTGGTTGACTTCAGCTCTGGATCTTGTCTCTCAGGCTGGTGGATCTCCTGGAACCCTTGATCAGCTGTCTCCTCAAAGGCATCCACAGCATGAAATGCCAGCGTATTTTTGGGAGAAGTGTCATAGGATCTCCTGGCAAAAGTTTTCTAACTCCAGTCATATATAAGTCTAACCATCTACCTGTTAGAGCTGGTATCTTGGGAGGGATGCTCCTCCTCCCAAAGGTCAAGAGCAGAAGAAATGTACTGAGTAGACTAAGCCTCATACACAAGAGGAAGACACTATAAACATGGGCTACTTAAACTCCGCAGGCTCTGGATGAGCCACTTCGCTGGGTGTCAAGTTTGTAGACATCTGCCTTTTTGACTACATGGACATCTTATTACTTACATAGCCATAACAATCACATTGCCCAGTGATCCAGAATAATTCAGAGGATGCAGAATGTTCTTTCCCACAGGCAGTGATCTCTTCCATTCTACCTGTCCTAATAACCCATACTTCAACAGTGAGTCTGGGATATGGAATAGGAGATGAGATACAGCTTTATCTGTTTTAAATCCAGCACTTTCTACCAGCAGACCTTATTTCTTTGAGGTGTTGCATGGTTTCTGTTAGGATAGGCTTTAAATCTAGCACTCGAAGGCTGGGAAAAGCAGTCAGTGAATGAATAGATATCCTCAAATCCCTTCAGGATGAAGGAACCTGCTTCTTTATCATGTATTGCAAGGCCCCTGCCACCTCCTTGTTACGAAGGGTATAAATGATGGGGTTGAGCATGGGTGTGATGACTGTGTAGAAGAGACTGAGGATGCGGTCTATGGTAACAGAGGAGCCTGCCTGAGGCCGAATGTAGGTGATGCTGGCTGTTCCAAAGAAGAGGGAGACCACAAGCAGGTGGGAGGAACAGGTAGAGAAAACCTTGTGTCGGCTCCGAGTGGAAGCCATTGCCAGGATTGCACCCAGGATGCGGGCATAAGAGGTGACAATCAGAGAGAAGGGGACCAGTATGAAGACCACGGTGGCTGTCATGACAGAGATTTCGCTCCTGTGCTTCCCAGCACTTGCCAGTCTCAGTACTGGCAGAATGTCGCAGAGGAAGTGTGGAATGATTGGGTGGCTGGGGAAAGGCAGAGTGAAGATGAGGGAGGAATGAGTGGTGGCTGTGATGATACCCATGAGCCAAGACATGCCCACCATGGCCACACAGGCTCGCTGGCTTATGAGGGTAGAGTAGTGCAGTGGCTGGCAGATGGCTGCATAGCGGTCATATGCCATGGCTGTGAGCAGGCAGCACTCAGAGATGCCCAGGACAATGAAAACGTACATCTGTGCTACACAGCTCTGGAAGGAGATGGCCCGGGGGTGTGGAGAGGCCAGATCAGTCAGTGTCCTGGGCACAATGTCACTGGTGTAGAGGAGCTCTATCACGGAAAAGTGGCGCAGGAAGAAGTACATTGGGGAGTGCAGTGCAGGGCTGGCCTGGGTAAGGAGGATGATCAGGGAGTTACCCAGCAAGGTAACCAGATAGACCAGAAGAACCACCCAGAACAGGGGACCTTGAAGGGCCCTGAGGTCAGAGAAGCCCAGGAGGAAGAATTCAGGCACTGAAGTATGGTTTTCCTCAGCCATTACTTCAGGCCAGAAGCTACAGCACTAAAAAAAAAAAAAAAAAAAAAAAAAAAAAAAAAAAGAAGCTACAGCACTGCCAACAAAAAGAGGTTATTTATTGAGAAACAACCACTGTTTCTATAATTTGGTAAAGCATTTTCCATAAGTCCCTCTCAAAATTAAGTAAGAGTATTTTCTCTTTGGATGAGCCATGGGTCTCAGGGATTAAGCAATACCCTAAACTAATACCAGGGAGTGACACAACTTGGACTTAATCCAGGCTTCTTGACTATAAAGTCTATACATTTTCCACTGTTCCCCATGTGCTAGTACTGTGTCTGAAGCCCCACTCCCATGTCTCTACCCCAGCTTTGTACTTTGGGTAGAGCAGCTCTGTCTTTCATACTTTCTAGAAAGAAATTTCAGGCCAACAAACAATCTCACACCAAGGACTGTTTCAGGTGGAGGAGGTCAAAAGTAGAGGAAGTAAAAATTGTCTAATGATCACCTCAGTATGCTGAGGATTTGGAATGCCCCACAGTGATGTGACTATTTGTGATACTACTAGTTGCATTATGCTTTGAGATTATGACACTATCCCCAGTTCTTTTAATCTTCTCTTCTCTGGCCCCCTATGATCAGCTATACCAGCTTTACTGTCCCAGGATACCCTGTTCGCTTAGGCCTTCCTGAACTGCCAATGTCCCCCCTGCAGAGACTATTCCTACTCATTCTGTTAAAGACCCACTCATCTTTCAAGCCTCCACTCAAGTTCCATCATCCTATACTCAGAAATCATAGTCATCTCAGGGTCATATATTTCCGTGTGTCAATGCTCACACCTTCTCTACAACATTTTAGAAAGGTGTTGTGAAGTGTCTGAACAGTGGTAGTGATGGGGAGCTTATCACCTGCTGAAATAGCCCCTTCTAGTTTTGGCCTCATCTATCTGTAGGAAAAAGTCTTTCTTATATCAGTCTTGGCTGAATATACAGTAATTTGTAGATGATTTAATCCCTCTTGCACCAGCCAGCCCTTCATGTATTTGAAGAAGGCATCTTTATTTATACTGTCATGAAACATTTTTTGTGCTTTGGTTCCCAGCATTTCTTAGTGTAAACTCTCTGTAAGATTCTGCAGGGCAAAGTGGGCACTGTGCTAAGGGCTTAACATTCATTGAATAATTGGATCTTCACAATCACACTATGCCATAGAAACCTTTATTTTCTTTGCTTTGCAGATAAGGAAATGGAAGCCCAGACAATATAAATAACTTTCTCCAAGTCTCTCATCTAGTAAGTGAGAGAGTTTGGGCTCAAAAATCCAGGTGTGTCTAACTCCAGAGCCTGTGTTCTTAACCACTAAGTTATTAACTGTCTTTAATGCTGGTTTAATCAGCAGAACAACTAGCACAGTACTCAGAAATGCCAAGTCTTCACTAAACATTTATAGGATGAATGAATGCATAAATGAATCTCAGTTATATAGATAAGGGAACTGATAAATAGAAAGATTAAGTGATTTGCCTAAAGTTAGGCAGGCAGCTAGTTAGAAACTGTCTTTGTCTAACTGCCTTGGGAAACTGGACTTAAAACTTCCATGAGTCCTGGGTCTCAAGATTGGCTGAGATTTTATAAACCATATTCACCTCCCACACATGAGGATAGTCCAACCATCTGCATATTTATGGACATGACTTAATAACTTATGGACATAATGTTTGTTCCTCCTTCACTCTGCCCTCTTACCCTATTTTCTTTGCCTAAAGTCATTTACTGTAGCTTACATTTAGAGATTGCTGTGTGCTGGGAATTGGGCTATTTCTCAGTTGACCTTTACAGCAGCACTAGTGCAAATTATTATTTTTTGTCACTGCAGAAAGGGAACCAGAGCTCCGAGAGTTTAAGTTATTTATCCAAGATCATATAGTTAACGAGTAGCAGAACCCAGAATGGTATCTTTAAGCCTAAGGGTTTCAACCACTGCATCTACAGTAGCTCCAGTAAGGCCAGCACCCTCATTTTCATCTAATCAGTTTGGACAAGAATAGCTAGGTCCAGCAGTCAGTACTCCTTCAGATACTCACATCTCCTAGGTAATGTGGGATACATTTGCTGGTTCCAAATTTTTAAAATGTTAAGTTTTAAAATTTAAATATTTAAGAAATATTTGGAGTAAAGTCATCTGTGATTTTATCACCTTAGTTGACTTCTTTCTTGTAAATTGCTCTCAGCTCTTTGTCCCACTGCAAAACCATTGTACATGCTTGTTACCATAGTATATGTAACATTTTGTCTTCTTCCTACCCTTTTAATGTTTTTGGTAAGCATTTCTGCCATGAAACTACATAGTATTCTGAATGACCCCCTCCTTTTTTTGAACTGTTCTTATAATAACCAGTTGAATTTCTCCACTAACATTTAACAAATACTTTTCATATTCTTATAATTTAAACTGTCCCACTTTATGGCATTATAAATAATGTTTCAAACAATATCTGTGAGCACCTTCCAATTTGCTTCTGTTTATATACTCTTAGGGTAAATTTTCAGGAGTGGAATTATTTGTTGGTTATAGACATTTTTGCAAGTCTTGCCATGTTACATAAGTTTTTGTGTTTCTCTAATGGGACAGACACATGAATGGAAATCCTGTCTTCCTTCCTGAGGAAGGATTATTCTCTATCCTGTCTGTCCTCATCAAGACCTCTCCCTCCATACTTACCTCACCTTTGCCACACTGTGAGCATCTCTTCACTCTCAGTCCTTTGATTAAATTTTGCCTTAAGATATCATCCTCACATTAAAACCCCTACATGCAATTAATATACACTAATAAAAAAGAGAAGAAAAGAAAAACAAAAAGGTGAGCAAATATATGAACAACACTTTGCTAAAAAATTTAGTGACTCTTAGACACATGGACAGAATTGTCCCTCACACACAGTGGAGAAGTGGACTTTGATGATGTCCTGGGATAGTGAGGCTCGTAACATGGTCCAGTGGTTTCAAATGCTCCCAAATCCACCTGTTTGATAACACAATGTTTGGGAGCAACTGTGGTTAAAAATTCCTCTTTCCTAATTTTCTTTTCTTCCTTTTTTTTTTTTTCCATTTTTGGCAGCACTGGGTTTTGAATTTAGGGCCTCACGCTTGCTATGCAGGTGCTTTACCACTTGAGCTACTCCACCAGCCCTCTTTCTTATTGGGTATTTTGAGATATATTTTCACTTACTATTTCCCCAGGCTGGCATTCCAATTAGCTGGGATTACAGGCATGAGCCACTGGTGCCTGGTGCAGGGTTCCTTTTAAACGTAGAAAAACAATCCTTGTGCCACAGTAACCCTTCGTGAGACAGTCACATAAATAAATTGATCAGGTAATGGGTATGTGGAGGAAAGGCAGATAAACTGGTTAACTGACAGAAATGTGTCTGGCTGCAGTCTGATTGGTTGGCCCTGTGATCCCTGAATGCAGGAGTTAAGAACCTTAGAGGGTGAATGGAATAGGAAACAGCTCTTGAGGGGTAGGGTTGACCTCTTGAGTGCAAGGGAATGTGGATTCAGGAGCCTAGTGCATGCTCTGGAGAATGGATTAAGGAGTTCTGGAAGCATGGTCAGACATCTCACCTTTATTCTGTCAGATTTTTTTTTTTTGCCTGAAGGATTAATGGGAGCTTTGCATGGAGGGTAGTGTGTGTGTGTGTGTGTGTGTGTGTGTGTGTGTCCAAGCATGTTTGTTGGGCATGGTGTGGGACAGCAAAGGAGGATGTAGGCAGCACTGACATTGGGGACAATTAACAGGACCTGAGAGACCCTCACTATAGATAGTATGAATATTGTGATTTACATACCACAAGCAGATGCAGAGTTCTGTACGTACCACCTGCTGCCTCACCCCACACACCATCTTATTAGGCACACTACAAATACACATACCATACAATCACATTTATTTCATTGTGTGTCCCCCACCCCAGAATATCTGCTTACCCCATACATCAAAGCTTTGTGTAGTCTATATAAACATTTGCCTTGCTCTATTACATGCAGTTTCTCCTGGCAGAACTTGCTTATTATTCCTAATCTCCTTCCAGCCCTTCTTCCTGTCTACCAAGGCTGATGGCATCTGAATTACACCTTTGAAATAGAAAGAGTAGCGATTCAGGAACTCTCTTCTTGACTCTTTTCTTCCATGCCCAGGAACAGGGACATTGTCCCTGGATGTACAGAGAGGTTTTAAAGGACCTGAGTGGGTCCTGATCTTCCTACTGCTTTTCTTCTTTTCCTGTTCCTGGCAGGGTCTAGCCTTGTCAGGGAAAGGCACAAGGCTACACAGCACTGTGTGAGACACTTACCCAGGAGAGATGGAAATGGTCACCCAGCTAAGCCAAGAGCAGGTGGGCACTGGCAAGGCTCTGTTGTTCCTTTTCTCCCCTTTAGAAATCTCTGCTTCTGTGGTGCCCACATTTATTTTCCAGCTGGTATAGGGCCTCTGCCCCCGGAGGACCTGGGAGGCCCTGACTCTTGGGGTTTCCGTAGGAGCTCTGAGCTGAGGTAGTACTATGGGCCAGATAGTTCTGTTTAGGTCCTCAGTGCTATCTGTGTCCTTCCTCTGCTCCTTGAACCCATTTCTCATGGCTACCCCATATCTTTCCTCCTTTCTTCAGGCCTGTTTCCTTCTCTTGGGTAACCATGCCTCCCCACTCATAACGGTCTCCTTGGCATGAAGCTTCCTCACATGTAGACTGTCTCCTGGGAAATTCATTCCTGTGCATGGCATCTTCACTTCCTGCTAAATGTAGATACTTCTGGCAGATTCTTGTAGTTTATAACAGTGAAGTATGATTTAGTCACGTTGTTCTCCATGCTCTCTTTGCTTTTTAGATGAGATCGGGTACATTCAAGGTGGTATGGCCATAGACAAGGTTTGCTTTTTAGAAAGTGTCGTAGTACATTGCCTGTCTGATTACCTAGAGATTCATGAAAAAGAAGGATTTGATTTCTGTCAATTTTTGTGTCTCTCATGTTACTGCACA